AGAAGTGAGGAGTATGTCTATGTGAGTTATGTAGTGAGAGGATGTCTAGATCAGGCTAGGTTTCATATTTAAGGTTGGATCGACTCTTAACCTAACCCAAATCCATCTAATTTATACCCCTTTTTTATTAGAAGAGTCAAAAGAAGTCGTTTAAGAGATAAAAAGGGAACTAGTGGGAGAGGGGAGGTACTACAAACATCAACTATTATTGGGGGGGGGGTTATGAATGATTTTAGTAGGAAGTAGTGATGATTTTTATTCGATAAAATTAAGACCTAAGAGGGTTTTTATTGCCACTTCTTATATTGTTTCATAACTCAATTTATAAATAAATAACCACATGTGTGAAAATGAGAGAAGCATAAAGTGCATGTGACCTTTATGGCAAGAGGAGGATGCTCTAACATCTCCTCTTTCCTCCTTATAGTAAAGATATAGATCTCATTCATGGTTATTTCAACCTCTAGCATTATTAATGTATTTGTGGGATTTAAACCATTTGCCATAATGCATTCATATATTTCCATTGTATCAATGTGCATCCTTATCCAAATTTTATGTTATTTGTGTAAGGGCACGTGTTATACATGTGTGCAAGTAAATGGTAACTATATAAGTTGGTATTGTATATCTAATTTAATTTTTATAACCTACACAAAAGGTAAAGCAAATATAGATATTGTATATTGTATGTCTAGTTTTATAATAGTATAGATATGAGATTCTGATGATTTGAACCTTGATAACAAATATAAACATTCTTCTTCTTATTATTATTACTATTATTATTACTATTACTACTACTACTACTACTATTATTATTATTATTATTATTATTATTATTATTATTCAATAGGGACGAACCATGGATTTTTTGAACCGAACCGATATGATCGGTTTTTTAAATATCTGAACTGAAACCGAACTAATGCAACTGGTGGACCGGTTAACCGCGGTTCAATTTTTTGGGTTTTTTTTATGCACTCAAAAAAAAAAGGAAGAAGCCTTCTTGTTCTACTGGTTGATCTAACCCAACTATGGTCGAGCTAGTGTGAATGTGTGAGGCGCACAGGGCAGAGCATACCTTTGTAAGACACAATAGAAGAAAATGAATAAGGAAGAAATAAAAAACATTGGATGAGATAAGTAGTGAATTAAAACAGAAAGAAAAACTGTGATATGGTACAAAAGTCGAAATAGATAAAAGAATGAACTAAAACAGAATCGAAAAACCTCTGATTCATTACATTCAGAAGGAAAGAAACAACGTGGAGCTAACATTTACAACAACAAAAAAGAAAAAGGAAGACATTAATTGAGAGAAATATGCACCCGCTTGTTGTAGATGTTGAAGTAGATAATGAAAAGGTACCATAGGCCAAATAGAGTTCCGAGAAGTAAAGTCTGGATCATATTGTTGGATTTTGCGCTCTTATCAACGCTCTTAGGAATTGAGGTTGCCTTAACACATCCTTGGTAGCTCGATTGGAAATGAAAGATGAAGTAGAAATCCAGCTGCTGAAATGTGACGAAGAACATAGCTGCAAATATCTAGAGTAGGAAGAAGCTCCATGGCCAGAGGTGAGATCGAGTGAGCTTGGAGAAGAAGAAGAGAGCACAAAAGGAGTGAATCTAGTGGTAAGGTTCCGATTCAGAGGTTTCAAGGCTTTGAGAAATGGAGTGGAAGGAGAGAGAGCAACTACACTGCTTTGCATTTTCTTTGGGAGCTGAGAAGGACAATAACATAATCAACCCTAGAGAGTCAGAGATGCAGATTTTTGAGGGTGTTTTTTTCTATTGTTGTTTTGAAAGGGGAAGTCAAAAGTGGGAGGCTTTTGTAAGGTAACAATGGGCAAAGAGCCAAAGACGAAGGGATAAACGTTGTCACGTGAGGAAGAAAATTTTAATCGTCATATTTGAATCTACTTATTAGCATGACAATCGAAGAGAGAAGAAAAGGGGTATTTTATTCTAAAAAGTATAAATTATAATATATATTAGTGTATATATACTGGTCGCTTCGATTAACCGCCAGTTTTGTTAAAAGGTTAACCAAAACTGAACTGGAACTATCAGTTTTTTAAGAATATTGAACCGAAACTGAACCGACTAATTTGATTAATCGATTTTTCAATTTGGTTTTGGTCGATTCAGTTTTTCATTTTTTTTGCTCACCCCTATTATTCAACATATATTATTAATCATAACATTTAGGGTCACATATTCCCTCAAGCAAAAACTTTACACGCACTCTAAAATTACAAGAATCCAATGGCACATTAGAAACATCACCATATAAATTTAACATATATATGTACAAAAAACAATTCCCAATATAATACTGGGTCCATGCAAAGAATGTATCAAATCATAAAAAGTCCCCCCCCCCAAAAAAAAAAGAAAAAAAAAAGAAAAAAAAAAAAAGAAAAAAGAAAACAATGTACAATAAATAAATAAGACTGCCTATCCAGCTATCCTATGAAAACGACCTTAGTGACCTACATCGGCTAATCTGTTTTCAACACATTTAATCTTGATATCTGCTTCTATAGTCATTGATATTTTTATTTTTACATCGAGATTTAGCAGGCACATTCACCACTTTATAAAACCCCAAGATCAGCATTCCTGTCATTTTCATTCATTTGAGGGTTCCTATAAACGTTTTGGAAGATACTAGCCGAAAGGCACGTGCAAACTAAAGTAAAGGATAACAAGATACAAAGATTTTTAGATTTTTTCTTTTTTTCTTTTTAGTTCTTTAAATGGGCCAAGGATTTAAAAGTTAAATCATCTAGACCGTCCACAATATTCCCACTGCAACATTGACTTTATATAATGATATTAAAATATTCTGATTAATTTTGTATGACTTACACGAAACCAATGCAAATATTAATGTTATATGGTTATATGGTAAAGACGTATATTATTTGAATTCCATAATTGAATCTTTTTTTTTTCATAGGTCATTACTTTTTTTTATTCATTTAAAAAAATCGTTACTAATTTTTTTTTGAAACAGTACTACAATTCAAACAAACAAAAGTTATAATACAAATTAAATTATTTGCGTTGACTACAACATTGATATTGTATAATGATATACTAAGGTTCTACCAAGGTTTTTAAAACCGGACCGGACAGGGAATCGTTATGGGTCCGATTCCTATGCTGAATGGTCCAATCATCCGGTTCAAATAGATGGCTCACTCTGATGGAACAAAATAAAAAAAAGAGGCCAAAAAACATTGTTTGGGTTGACGATTCGACCGCTCAAGTCTATGGTTCACTAACAAATCAATAGTTTTTGACCAAAAAAGCAGTTTTTGGGTAAAACGATTCCCAGTTTTTTAAAACCATGGGTTCTACTATGATGCCAGAAAGATTTATAATCAATCAACTAGTATCATACAAGGGCTAACCAATCAGGTGGGTTTTAATCAAAATTCACCCTAGGGGTGATAAGTCAACAGAGAACAAAGCCTTTCCGGTATCATGTCTTTCTAGCATCATAGAATTGTCCTGATATTAAAATGTTTGGATTTAATTTTTATCACTCACACAAAGCCAACGCAAACATCCATCCTATATACTAATCAAAATTTCACAGTTCAATCATTTGATTATCCTCATTTTCATTATTCTTTTTCTTCTTGAATTAGTGGTACAATCCAAACAAAAAAACAAAAATATAATAAAAATTAATTTTTGACCAACTACAATATCATAATTTAATTTTTTGTGACTTAAGTAAGGCGAACACAAGTATCCACGTTACATAGTAAAAATATGTATATGTAGAGTTAGGATCTTCTGCCAACAAAACACATTCCAACCCTCTACCAATTTGATCTAACATGGCACATCTCACCATGAGATTGGGACCGATTGTAAAAGTGAGACCCGCCATATATGAGATGTGAGGTGTAAGTAAGATCATGTCGGGTAAGTTGTTGGCAGGTGATCCAGACTCATATATATATATAGTAAAGATGTATATTATCAAAATTTCATAATTGAATCATTTGATAATCATCACCTTTTTAATTAAAATAAAAAATTCACTATTTTTCAAATGATACTACAATTCAAACCAACAAAAATCATGGAGGTGTCGACATCATCAAATTCATATTTTTTGCTAATGTGGCAGAAACGAAACCAACAATGTTGTGCACAACATTGTAAAAATGATTTGGAAAGGGAAAATTGGAGGTGCGGGGAATCGAACCCCGTGCCTCTCGCATGCGAAGCGAGCGCTCTACCATATGAGCTACACCCCCATTTTGGTTATTTTGGATACACAATTTGTTATAGTTATGTTTTTCAGCATTCGAAGGATAAGTTTCGAATCGAAGCTTCGAATATGAATATAAATGATGACTCGTCCGATTCGATCCGATCCATTTGCAGTTATACCCACGGTTGACGCCTAGCTAATCCCACGGAGTAGGCACTGTGCGCAGTAGCCAGTAGACATTTCCCGCGTTAGAATCCAGATGTTTCAATGCACCGACGAGATGAGCAAAAGCCAGAGCCTCTGTTCTACCTCTCCTATGCTCGTCATAGGAATTGCTTCTTCTTGTTTCCATGGCGGATTTTATGAAACCCTAATTTTGTCAAAGAGAAGAGACTGCAATAATGTTTCGGTCCTTTTGGACGCTAGTTCGATGCTTGTTCAGTCTCAATCTCAAGCTTCGATTCCTTTTATTGATGATGATCCCAGCACCTGTACTTTATTTGTTGGAATCTCCTTTGCACTTTCTTTTCAGATACGACATTTGAAATCATCGAGATGTCATCTTATCTTTTCGAAATTTGAAGCAAGCATCTGATTCGCGTTTCTTTTAAATTATTTGTCCAAAATTTACCAGAGTGATCGTATCCGGCGTATCCACATCAGATTTACGTGAAAGTGGACGGCTGGTAAGCAACTGCTAGTAGATCGTCGAGTGCTTACCGTTTAAAATTTTAATTTATAGGTTGATTTCTTTTTAATTCCATTTAAAGTCGAAAAGTCATACCCGATCTTTTTCAAGGAGCTCAGTTAGATTCATCTAATTTTGTCTCGGTGAAGATTATCAAAGTTTCCATGGTAGGTCGGGAATCCACAGAGGCCTAACATTATTGCAAACGACGATGGTGCCATTGCTCATGGAATATTGACACTAAATATAATTTTCCTTAATGAACCGACCACCATATTAAAGTTGTAGTTCCAATACAATTTCTTACTAACGATATATTCTTTTTCTCAAATGAAAAATATGAATGCATGACATTTAATCATTTACCATCGAAGAATATGAAACTAATAGGAGACAAATTTAAAGTGTCTTATAATAGTAAATGATTGTCAGGGTCGAAAATTGCAGTCATAAGAAATTATTGCACTTAAGGTGGCAAATTGATCAATTTGTAAAAGTTGTTTGTGGGTTGATTGGTTGAATAATCGGATAGTCCTTGGTTATTTGTTTGTTCTGTTTTTGGACTGAGCTCGAGTGAATTAAGGAGACGTGTTCAATCATGATTTTGATGCTCCAAACAAAGTTTAACATACTAACACGAGGTGGTTGCTTTATTTTCCTTGTGCAAACCATGTTGGCACATTCAACTTTAATGAGCCCGTAGTTTGAGAAGTTGGACCGTAGAAGTCGCGTGTATATAAATAGTATAACAGCTGCAACATTATGGTCTTACATTTGGAATTTGGACTGTAGTAAGCAGTTGCAATGGCATCTTCAAAATCTACCAATGGTTCACAAACACCTCTAGTTTATCATTTTGAACTTGGGGAGGGAATGCAGCTCCAGGTACCAATTTTCCTCTGCGCAAAAGGTTACAAAGATGTAATAATATTTGGAAGTTTGAAGTTATATTGATTTCCTTCATTCCTGTAGGTTAATGTGTCTGGATCTTCAAGTGGATGCAATGCAAAAATTGAGCTTCAACTTAAAAATTGTTCAAGAACATGGATTCTTCATTGGGGTGGCCTTTATCGTGGACATATGTGAATCCAATCAGACACTATTTGTTAGGTATTTTCATTTATAATCATCAGTGATTTTGACCTTTGAATTCTCTTACAGGAATTGGGCCATTCCAGCTGATCGGCCTTCTGGAACGAGAATCTATAAGCAAACTGCACTGCAGACACCATTGGTGAAGGTTGACTTGCCATCTCCTGCTTTATAATTACTTATACTCGCATATTCCAACATAGAAAAATATTTTCTAGGTACTCATAGGTTCATTTCTTTCCTATCTACAGAAGGGAGAAATATATTCGATCATCATTGAGTTGCGGGATCCTAAGATACATGCTATTGAATTTGTTCTGAAAGATGAAAGGCATGATAGATGGTTAGTCTTTCTTTGAAACTGATTTTTTGCTACTTTGGGCTGTTTGATTTTGAGTATTGCACATTTAAATCAGATGAACCCATCTTGACCTGTCACTATGGTTTTTTCCCCTTCCTCCTCTAGGTTAAAACTAAACAAAGGGAATTTCCGAATTGAAATACCTGAGGTTGCATTAAGTGCTTCTCCCCTATCTTCTATACCAAGGGAGTTGGTAGAACGCAAGGCATATTTACTTTGGGAAAGCAAGGGAAAGCCAAGAAACTCACTGCAACAGCAAGAGGTTTGTCTTAACTCTATTTTGTACTGAATAAATAGTTAGCTGAGGCTTGTATTAGAAAGAACTACAATATGTGATCATGATGTTGGTTTTAGCTTGTTATTATTCCAAGAATAACAATAAATAATTTGATGAAAGATGATTTAATTGCACATATTCAATTGGTTTGTGTTTCTTGAATAGCATAAAGATCTCTTCTAATTTGTAATCTTTTGTTATCTTGGTGTTGCTCCTTACATGGACATTAAAAAAATACAAGTTTCCTGTGCCCCCTATAAAAAAGAAGGGAGAACTTGACTGGCAATACAAAAGTTATACCCTCTCAAGTTCTTATGCTCCCAATTTGCATTGAGGTCCATGTAACATGTCCTTAAAATCCTTTAAAATGAAGTACCAAGTAAGCAATATTCATGAGACTCAGTAAGAGGAGAAGCCCTCTGTTGACATTGTGCGTTGGGTTATCAGCATCCATGCGACATCAAAGGGTGGTAGTTGAAGGGGATTCCTTTAGCTCAAGGAAGTATAGGTGATAGGTTAAATAAGATATGAATCAAAACAGGATGGCCTTGAAGACTATCTATCAGAGTAGGGATGCAAGCTCTTTAGCATCTAGAGTCCTTATTAGCTAATTCCATTGTAAATGGTCTGGTAATAGGGGGTAACAAGGAAAGTTTTATTTAGGAATATTGTTACAAATTCCATGGATTATGATGTGAGGCTCAGGTGGTGATTGGAATTATTGAAAAATCATATTTTCTTGGGTTGATTTTGAGGGATTATGATGGCCATCAATGTGCTGGCTTCTGTAATGGGTGTTATGCTATGCTGTCATTTTTGACTCTTAGTGGCAAGCTGATATCTACTTCTGTCTCTTGTAATTAGGCCTCTGGCCTCTTTTTGTGAATAAAATCATCCTTAAATTCTAAAATGTTAGGTTTTTAGATATCCTGGCATTTCATGGGATATGGGTCATTGTCTTATATTTTCTTCTTTAGTTTCAATTAGTATAATGTATTTACAGTTAGTGTTAAAGAAAGAAAGTAAGAACAATAGGTGTCAGATTCTTATGTGAACTCTCTACTGTTGCCATCCCGTCTTTGAACTGTGGTTCTTTCTTTCTTTCTTTCTTTATAAAGATTCTAACAAGCAACTAAAGAAATAGTTACACATATGTAGCCTGCTTCCATAACTTCTCAAAGCATTATCCTCTCGCGAGGCCATTGAAAGTGGCAAGCAAAAGTTCAAAACCCAAGAGGTATGAAGCAAGGATAAGAAGTGAGACTAGGCCTGTTTGAGAGTCATTGGTGATTAAGGAGGTGATCCGCAAGTTTCTCATACATGTTACATAGGAAGAAAATATCAGTAATCTGTCATCCTTAATGATAAGGTGATTTACCATCACTCTCTTGCCCTCAACCACTTTACTGAGAATCTGGAGGAAAGATCTAGAGGAAGGACTTGGCACCAAATAAAAATCACTTCACTGAGATTCTTTTTTTTTGATAGGTCACTTTACAAAAAACAAGATGGTTTGATGGTTAAAGGCTAATTAATGTAATTAAGAGAACCTAAGTTCAAATCCCTCTAACAACACACTTTATTGTTCTCATACTCCATAACTAAAGTCAATAGATGATGGGGCATCCCAATACTTGAGATTTCTTCTCAATTTTGGACCCTTAAACCACACAGATCCTCCCACCCCCCCCGGCAAACAGTTTGGTACTCTGCTACCAAGACAATCAACTCAGCTGAGCAAAACTTTATCCCAACTATATGGGGAAACCTACATGAACCTTGTTTTTTCATTCCATATATTGAGGGCCATAACCTCTGTTAAACTTTTGGTGCCTAGATCTTTTCTCCTACCTCTAGGAATGCCTTTTCAAAATTCCCTAGCTCATATATTGTTGTGGGAAAGAAGAATAAGAAACAAAGTGAGAGATGAGAGGTAAGGTACACTGATGGGTTCTCTTTCTGTGAGTAATTAGAATATGCAATTCATTAGGAGGATCAGTATCGAAACAAGTAGTGGAAGGTGGAAAAGTCTCTGTACCTAAGAATTATTATTGATTTGGTGGAGTGTCACAAACCACCTCTAAGTTTTTGCTTTTGTTAGCCCTTTATAATTTGCAGGCTCTTTGGAGAGAGAACCAAGAGTATCAGTAACCAGAAGAGAAGACTTTGAAGATGAAGGTAATCCATTGTATTAAGACAATGGAGATTTTCGACGACTATACAGTGGATGACTTTATTAGAGAGTGGGGAGCAATATCAGCATCTTCTACATTAAAGAGAGTAGTGGAAAAGGAGTGGGTTCCTGCCAGCAACAATAGAATTGAAATAAACTTTGACGGAAGCTTTTGTGGGAGTCCAGGTCCCTTGGGTATAGGGGGAGTTTTTATAGATGGTGATATTGGCTCTCTACTCCAGTCTGTTAGAAGTAGAAGACTCACTGACAGCAGCGATTTTGGTCATCCTGCAAGAATTAAAATTAGAAATACGGCTGAATCTGAAATATATAGCAACTGAGGGTGATTCCATGTTGGTAGTGGATTGGATGGTGAGGAGTAGTTAGGGTCCATGGGCAGTCAGACATGTAATAAGGGAAATCAGGAAGCTATCAAGGGAAGTTGAGGTCACTTTTAAGTGGGTTAATGGGTCAGCAAATGCATTGGCAGATTCCTTAGTCAAGCAAGGGGTGAGTAGGGAGCAACTTTCTATGCTAAATGTATTTGTAAGATTCATGTGAGTTTGGCTCGGGACTTAAAGTTCTAAATTAATTCAAGTTTCTGGTTATCAATCAAACAAAAAAAGGAAGAAGAGAAACGGGAAGAGAGAAATGTATATGAAACCGACATCAATAGAAATATGCATCCTAGAAACTGGGTCAAAACATTTAAAGCCTTTTTGAGTAGTAAAATAGCCCCAAAAAACTCCTTTAATCGTTTTTGGGAATAAGGAAGAAACAAAAACAGAAAAGAAAGACAAGGAAAGAGAGAAGAAAGTAGTAGAGAACAGTTCCAAAACAGATTGAGAGAGAACTGAAATGGAGTGGTGCTGGTTTTCCTATATATTGATATAAAAGGCCATTACCCAATATTGGTCCCAGATATCTGGGGTCTTGGGAGGGGATGAGGGGCGGATTGGATACAGTTATGCACAAAGTGGTGGCTCTCAGACAGTCAGACTCGAATCTGCATCCTCACACTTGACAGCCCGAGATTTTACCATTACACCAAGTAATGGCCCCTCTGTTGATATCTATAATTTAATCACAAGTTGAAAAAGGACCAAAATGATCCTTCTGAGAAAATAAAGAAAAAAGGTCATAAGTGCCCTTATACAAAAAAGCATAGATACCCTTAAAGCCTAAAAAAGGCCATTACCCAATGTTTGTCCCAGCTGTCTGGGGTCTTGGGAGGGGTACGTTGGTTACAGTCCTAACCTCTGGCATTTTTTATTGGCACAAGGCCGCTCTCGGACTCAAACCTGTGTTCTAACACTTGCGGCCTGAGATTTCACCTTTACACCAAACAATGGTTCCTACAAATATCCTTAAAGCTTATTTTCTACAAAAAAAAAAAAGATATGATTGTGGGTTTGGATGTTTTAATATGAAAAAAGCAGAGGAAGGTGAGGTAGAGTCAAGAATAAGGTGATTTAGAAGTTGTCACGGGTTGGTTCTTGTGGGTTTGGGTGTTTTGTAGGCATGATATTGAATAACTTCCATTGGTTTGTTTACTAGGTATTTTGGTTCTTATTTGATTCTTTGACAATCTGAAATGTGAGAGGGTTGGAACTTCTGTAAGTTTTATAAGTTTTTATATCACTGAGGCTCTTTCTTTTTGCTTGGGTTGCAAATCCATCCTTATTTTTGTTTCCTTTTCTTGTAATAAGTTTTTTCCTGTCTACCATAAAAAGTAAAGTATTTGTCAGAAACTTCATGAGACATTTTAAGATGGTGTAATTTTTTTTTTTTTATTTGAAAGAAGAGAAAGGAGCAATATAAGTAATCTTAAATATGGATGAATGGCAGGACTATGAAGGATAAAATTAAAAATGAACATATTCAAGGGAATCTAGAGGTAGCAACAAATGGATGAAATGTAAGTTCTCTAAGAAGGATTGATCAGAGCATAGCTCATTTTGTAATGAACCTTTGCGCTTGCCTTGTCAAGTGCTTTGTTCAGTTCATGCATAGGATCAAAAGGAAAGAAAGGGGAAAGGATCTATAGCTTTGATCAGGTCGAAGTCTGTACAACTTATCCTTTAGGATGTCCCACCCCTATCAACAGGAATTGGAATTTTATTAAGGAGAGATTTCTTTATGGTGTCTTTTTTACTTTCTCATGACACATAAATTCATCAAAAGCATAGGTTCACGGTTCATGCAAGATATCATTTTTTTTTTAATCAGTAGAAAGTAATTTTATTAATGCAAACTTAAAGATTACAAGGGGGTAGGTGTAAAATCCGCCCCAAACAACAAGAGTTCACAAATTTGCCCTAAAAAAATGCTGCCTTAAAGCCCTTTGTTTGGATAAAGTGTCTGCCATTCCATTTGCTGTTTTTCTCATCCATTTAAAAGAAAGATTTAGCTCCCTTATTAAGATTTTCTTTTGATCAATAAAACCTTGATTATATTAATATGTGAAAAAACACTACAAGTTTAATTTGATGATTATAACATCAGCCCCAAAACCAACACTATGTTATAAAGATGCCCAAAACAATTCCTGCCTTTCTACCCCTTATTTAGCAAGGGGGTCAGCTAGCCCATTTGCACTCCTAACCAATTTGAATTCAGCACTCAGCTCTCTTGTAGTCCTTTTTATTTCCCTGTAAGCATGCTTGAGAGTCCACGGAACATGTCTGTTACATCTTGCCCAAGAGATGGTCCCCTTCCACCTCCACTTGACTGAGGCCCAATTTCTTAGTGAACCTGAAACCTTGTAGTAAAGTCAACAATTCAAATTTTATGGAGTTAGTCACACCAATTAGCCTAGAGTAAAGAGCTAACAATCTGCCCTCCGAATTTCTAATTGCCCCACCAATGTCCACCATACTGGGTTACCCAAAGAGCTTCCATCAAAATTCAACTTAACTTTACTGCCTTGTGGAAGTTTCCATTACATTTTAGTTCTGTCTTTGTCTCTAGAGGATTGTACTACTCCTAAACCCTTAGAATCATCAGTCACTGCGAAACTTTGAGATAAATTTAACTTAGAATGCTACCTTTACTTTTGTTGTCTCAATCACCTCCTCCACAGTTCTATTTTTTCCATTAAAAATTCTGTTATTCCTCTCCTCCCAAATCACCCAAATAGTTGCAGCCTTAGTAACTCTCCACATCAACCTTCCTGTTTTCTTTGATTGCCTTAGGAAGCTAGGCCTGAAAATGTCCGCCACCTCTTGGGGAGGGTTCCACCTACAACTGCAAAGATCACAGAAAAACTCCCAAATATGAGTAACAAAAGAACATGAGGTTAATAAGTGGAGTATTGTTTCTCCACTTTTCCTACAGGACCTACACAAAAAGCACATATGAGGAGAGAGTCAGCAAAAAGCCTTCTTTTCTGCAGAACATCACAAGTGTTAACCTTTCCAAGGAAATATTCCCATTAGAAAGCATGAACTTTTGGTGGGATAGGCATAGTCCACACTTCTTTCACTAGGAAGTCCACCCCATGTGAAGCAGGCAAGGTTAAAGACTTGAAAAATGAGGAACAAGTAAAGAGTCCATCCAGTGAGGGAATCTAGATTCTAGAGTCTTCCAAAAGAGGGTCCAAGAAAGAAGTCTCCAAGATATTAAGAAGCTTAATTAGAGGGGCACACTCTCTCTCCCTTAAGTCTCTTCTAAGACCCCAAGTCCCAGTTGATGCCCGAGGGAGGGGGAGTGTCCATAAAGGACACAGATGCATCTTTAAGGTTAGAGAGGGCAAAAAGATCGGGGAACTAGTCCCCTACCCAAAGGTCTTCCTAGAACTGAATCTTATCACTCCTTATCAAATAAAAACGTGTAGAATTGAGGAACAAAGGGTAAACCTCATGGATTTCTTTCCAAGGGGAAGTTGAGGTTGAATAAGGGTTGAGTATAGCATCCCATTCATTACATTCTTGCCCATGAATGCTTGCTACAACTTTGTGCCACAACCTGTCTCTTTCAAATGGGAATCTCCATAACCAAGGTTCAGAGTATTGATATGATACACCTGATACCGAACACATCGTATTGTGGGGTTTCTGATACACTTGTTTAAAGGTGTTTTCAGGAAACTCCTTTTATTTATTAAATAATATAAAATATCTATTAAAACGAAATAAAAAACTAAAAAAATAAAACGTGCATGGTTTATTGTGTTTATACACCCCTGCCGATACATTTGGGTGTATCGATACTTTAAACCATGTCCATAACCATTTACCCAAGAGAGCAACATTTTTGAGAGTGATATTTCCTAACCCTAAACCCCCTAGTTCCTTTGGCTTGCAGAGCTGTTCCCATTTAACCAAATGATCCTTCTTTTCGTCCCCCGGTTCTCACAAGAAATCCCTCGTATTATTTCTCTAAATCTCCGTCCATTAGGACCAATCCACCAAATCGTAAGCCTTTTCAAAATTCAATTTACATATGAATCCCTTTCCTTCTCTCTTCTACACATTCATTTGCCACTAAAATCTGGTCAACAATTGGTTTTCCCTCTACAAAGGCCCCTTGGAAAGGTGAGAGCACTATAGGTAAAACCTTTTTCAGTCTACTTGGAAAGACTTTTGCTATTATTTTATAGAGGCTACCCACTTAATTTATTGGCCTGAAATCCTTTGGGGTTCTAGTAGAACTTGTTCCTGGAGAAATTTCCTCAGTTTGGTGAAAATCATCAAACATTTCTTTCAAATCATTCTTTCAACTCCTCCCAGAACTGGTCCCTTTCTACGTAATAGTTTGGACCATAAATATTGGTCATCACCCACATCTTCCCATCACTAGCTCTTTTGAATTTGGTTGAGACTAAGTAATTTCCAATGAGTTCCTCCAAGCACTCCAATTCCTCATTTTTCTAGATGGTGAGAATGAAGCTCCCTAAGACAGTGCATTAGCCCAACTTAAACCCATAATTCCTCAGATACTCCTAATCCACCTTTTATTTAGCTTTGATAACTTGGTTTCCTGAATTAAGAAAACATCATGCTTCTCTTTCCTGAGTACACTCCTTGTTAATCTTCTTTTTTTTTTCAATGCAAGATATCTTCCTTGACTTAGCCAAACACTATATAGCACTGCGTTAGTTTGTAGAATGTGACTTGTTACTAGATTTTTTTTTCTATTTTTAGAATCCTATGCCATCTTCTCATTTCTTGAAAGTTGAAACACATTTTTGTGTTCATGTTCTTGCATAGGTTTTATCAGCCAATTGTACTTTGAATGGGGATAATTTATGCTTCTGTTGTTGCCCAGTAGTTATCGAGTAATATGATAATCATAACTTCACATTTTTTGTGCAGCAAGACTATGAAGATGCTTTGAGAGAGCTTCAAAGTCAGTCATCAAAGGGACTTTCTTTGGATGAACTTCGAAGAAGCTTAGAGGGAGCAAGTACTAAAAGGATCACTCAGGGAAAGGAACTAGCAGTTTTTAACAGTTCAACTTCCTCTACTCATCCCAGAGGACATGACATTGACAAGTGGTTGCAAAAATCTTATGAGGGACATACCAAAGGCACCAGTTTGCTGGCATCACCTCTATTCAATCTTGTTGAGAAGTCTATTGGAGGAGATAATTGGATTATGCAACAAACTTTTCATGTTGGGAACCATGACATACTGGTCAGCTTCTGTATAACAACTAGAAAACATTATTTTATCAAAATCAGTAAATTATGTTTGACATTCTTTTGGATGTGTATGTAGATAAAGGTTCCAATAAGTCGCCTTCTGTTTAGATGTATTTTCATCTCAAAAAATGTTTTTGAAGAGTTTTTTTATTTAAATTTATATTATCAGTTATTTGTCTAATAATAACTGTTTATACACTGTCATGTAACTTGAGACATGCCAGCACATTATCTGGACTTTGGAGTTACCATGTTTGTAACCTTGTGTGTCTCCACTGCTTTATTTGCTTGTCTCTAGGTTACATTTGTTAACCTTAATTGACTAAATGATCTCTTTTTTCAACCAGGCAGTAAATCTTATATGCAATTTTTCTGCGTAGGTTCTTTTGAGGATTCTTAGGGGTGACTATCACATATTGGTTGCTGTGAACATGAAAGGTGCTATTGTGCTTCACTGGGGTGTATCAAAGTCATCTTATGGGGAGTGGCTGGTAAGTTAATGTCATTTTTTTATTAGTAGTTTATTTCTCAATGAATGAAAGAAGAAAGTATGTAGAGTGTGCCCTGCACAACTAAGTATGGGTTATCAATGCTCACAATTCATCATTGGAGCCCATCGGACAGGGGCTTTATTAAATTAAATTTTGATGGTAGTAGCATAGGGAATCCAGGTCCCTCTGGCATTGGAGGTGTATTCAGAGATGAAAGGGGCAGAATTATTGCACTATATTCTGGGCCAGCAGGGAAAGGAGAATCATTGAGGGCAGAAGTCATGGATGTAATGGAAGGCATACAAAGGGCGAAAACTCTGCACATCAACAAACTAAGTGTGGAGGGAGATTCAAAACTGGTGATCAACTGGCTACAGGATTAGGGAATGAAAATGTGGATGTACAATAATGGAAGGAAAAATGCAGATGGTTAACTAGAGACATGGAAGTAAGGACAGGGTGGGTCAAGCGGAGTGCAAATGCCATAGCTGATTCATTAGCTAAGCAAGGGGTGGAGAGAGATTTATCGTTTTGGGCACAATTGTAAGGGATTTGGGGTTTTGTGGGGAGAGATAAGAGTTTTTATCTCTCATGAACTTAAACTGTTTTTAACAGTCTGTACTTACCACTTTCTTCTCAGATTAATAAAATTGACGTTATTGAATAAAAAAAATGCTACCCAGATATTTTTTGTTTCAAAGATTATGAACTTCCCCATAGAAAGGGATCCCCCCAAAAGTTGTTCCCTGCTTGCTCTCTGTCTTGATAGCATATTAGCCATACAATTGGCTGATCTGTGTCTCCATTGAAAGATTGCTCCTTGAAGAATCTTCTTCTCTTGCTTCAGTCATACTCTAGTTCAGATATTGCTTTAGTCTAGAAGCTAATTACAGCATGTAATATGGCTTTATTCTTTACATAGGCTCCTCCACCAGATATACTTCCTGAAAGGTCAAAGCTACTTGATGGAGCATGCCAGACTTATTTTAAGGATGTGATAACTAGAGAAGGATCTTTTCAGGTAATATATACTATAGAATTAGCTCCATATGTACTGCAGTTTTTTTCCCGTTTTATCATTTTGTATTGACCATCTATAATGCAGCTTGTAGATATTAATCTGAAGCAAAAGGACTTTTTGGGCATCTCATTTGTACTTTGGTCTGGTGGTTCGTGGATAAAAAACAATGGAGCCAATTTTTTTGTTGGTCTGAAACCAATGAATAAGGTATTAGTTGTCACCCTTTGCAAATTTCTTATTTTTGGGAGGCATATGGTGTTGATTTTTGTGGATGTATGTTTTTTTCTCTCCTTGATTTACCCTTGAAACCTATGTCATGTTTATTGATAGGAATAATTAATTTATGGGATCTAAAAGTTGTCCATGCTTACCATAGCTAAAGATGTTATGAATCATGTTATGAATTGCATCAATATTTTAACTAGAGATACTAACATGAACATGGAAAACATTAAAAAGAAAGGTGCATGAAGTGTTTCATGGTCAATATTTAACATTGTATGGAAAATGGCCTTCTCTACCCCCTGGTTTGTCCATAAGTTTGCCTTTATTTATCATTGTTTTGAGATAAATTAGAAAGTGTTGTCTCGAAGTTTAAGTTTGTTTCTATACTTCATTATATTTGATTAATTTTAGGTGCCACCATTTCAGCTAATATAATTGGACACAATACTATTCCTCAAGTTTATTTTTCTTTGTATCATGACGCCCAATCTTTATCCTATTGTTCTAGCATGACTCTCATGTACTGCAGTTCATCTTCTTCTCTGATGTTTATATGGGGCTGATTTGGTTTTCTTGGTGCTGAATTGTGTTGCCTAATAAATATATTCAGGGTGAAGGTGACAGCAAAGGTATTGTCAAGTGGTTGCTTGATGAAATATCTCAGAGAGAGAAAGATGCCCAGAGATCCTTGATGCACAGGTTAGCCCAAAATACAAAGACTAGGTGCAATGACCAATAAATACATAAACTTTATTTTTATGAGAAAAATAGACTAGTGGTTGCATATTGATTTAGGTTGAGAATGAATCAGAATCAGCACTTATATACACTGGATCAATTTTGAGCTGCACGTTTATTTATTTACATATATAGGTAAAAGGCAGGAGTAGACAACCCATGTCACACTGGTTGACAACTGGAAAGAGACTGAAATGTACTGCCAAAATCTCCTCCTCTTCTTCTTGGTATTATTTGCCAGTGTTGAATGGTCTCTTCTAAATGGACAACATGTCTGTGTCAGATATGTGTAAGAGTCTGACACTCCATGGATTCTTGAGGACACATTTACACTACGTTTTCATTTTATCTCCCAGCTTATTTGACATAAATGAACAGCTAATATAATGCCATTTTCCATATCAAACATTACTCAGTAACAAAGGCAACTATTTTAATAGCATATGCTTTTTCATTGATGTGGTTGTGAGTTCACATTTTCTTATCTTGCCAAGTTAGACTCTTGTAAATGCATCAGATTTTAATTCCCTGCCCATGTCCATGCAATACTGTTATTTGCATGACTTGATGATGTCCTAGTGGCCCCTTGATTCCCCCTGATATGGATCTACTCTCCAGTGTATGGATCCCATGATGAATCTAAATATGCACGATTCTTCTGGATTAGGTGACTAATTCTAGTCAAACTATCGATCCTTTGATTATCACATAAGTTACTTTACTCTTTCAAGTTAAGTTTTTGATCTTCACCAACTCAAATTTCTAGATTCCTTGTGATTTATGTTAGCGTTTAGATTTTAAACAAGAAAGAAACACAAGTAAGAGCTCATTTGGTGCATAGAAACTCAAAAATAAATTTATTGTATATTTTATGTTTTTTCTATGCAAGTATCAAGTAAAATATAATGATTTAGTGTTATGCATATTTTTTTAGTAGCTTTTAAATTTTTCCTCAAAAAAGTTCGGTTTTAGTTTTGGTAGATATAATTTTTACTGTTAGTATATATAGTTGCAATTGTGTGTAAAAAGTAATTGTAAGATATAATAAATAACATTATACAATTAGATATCATAAAGAATAAAACTTAAAGAATTAAAAAACATCCCAGGTCAAATCTTTTGAGGAGTTATCACAACAATGACTGGAAAACTATTATTCTTTGTGGAGTTACTGTAACAATTGCTTTTGCATCTTGCATTTCTTTTGTTTCCTTTTTTTTTTTTTAATTATGTATTATTACCTGGCACAGGTTCAATATTGCAGCAGAGTTAACTGAACGATGTAAAAATGAAGGCCAATTGGGGCTTATTGGTATATTCGTTTGGTTGAGGTTCATGACATCCAGGCAACTTACTTGGAATAAAAATTATAATGTGAAACCACGGTAAAAAGTTTCGTTCTTCTTAATGGGTTTCATTTTTTGATTTTGGATTCTCTCTGAGAGTTATGATTTCTCTCTCTCTCTCATGCACACACACACACACACACCGATGTAATCTCTATTACTTTTTCTTTTCTAAAATTTTCTATACTTGGTACAAAATCTTGGGATTACTTATTCTACTTATTTTGTGTGTCACCTTGATATTTCCAGTTGTTATGTTTGTTATATTCAGGGGCTTCTAATAGAATTTGTGTATAGAAAGTAGGCATCTTATACCCTTAGTTATCATGCTGTAGTATCACGTTTAGTTGATCTAAGACAAATCAACCATGTGTCTCCATACACACATTAACAGTTGTATTGGAGCTGGCCCAATAGTGCTCCCCTACTTCCCCAGATAGAGCCCCTTAGAGAAATTGAGACTGTCAATTATCCCAGTGGGTATTCACCTGGCATCAGTAAAGTTATCTCCCTCATGGTTCTAAAAACACCACCTATATGTGATTCCCTGGGGTTTCCAATTCTGCAGCCATAACAGTTCAACTTTATTCTTCGTTGTGATGGAGGAGTCTAAGTTGTGTCAGTTCTAATTCTTTCTATTGAAGTTCAATGCCACAATAGACCAGCTTCTGATGAATCATCTGCAGAAAATCATGAAAATTCTTCTCTTGTCTTAATAAAAAATTCTTGATTTTTATCAGTCAATTAATGTTCTCTAGATTGATATTTGTCTTGAAAAATCCTAGTATTTCATTGTTGCTGGATTGGGCCATAATATGGATACTCTGTACTCTTCCACAAGATTTCCTCCATTTCTTTCTTGGATAGGAAAAAACTTGGTTGAAACAAGTTATCTGAAGGGGGAGACCTCTAGCATCAAATAAAGCAAAAAAAAAAAAAAAAGAAAAAAGAAAGAAAGAAAGAAAGAAAGAAAGAAAAAAGTTCTAAATACTGTTCGCATAAGTGAAAAAATACTGTTAGATGAAAGGTGGTTTCACAACTTGTCCTACAAAGGAAGCACATATGTGGTTAAAAAGTCCAATTTTGTTGCTGTTGTTGATGATGATGCATTAGAGACGCTTTGGATTGTATGTGCTTGTACTTGCTGAAAAATCCAAATGAGTCCACATTGGAAGTGGCTTACATAATTTCAGTCATTAACATCAGGCAATTAATACTATTTCACCTCTAATTTTCCTTTGAAAGATAAAAATCAAATTTAATTTACAAAGGACTTTAATGTTCCTTCATCTATGGTTGGCATGTTCTTTGATAAACAGACATTCCTTCCCTAAGAAATCTTTCTTCCATCTCTGTTCTTCTCACTTTCTAGTTTTACCTAGCAAGAACTGATCCTTCTACAACTCTGGTAGCTTGAGTGCCCTCTCTTTCTTAGTCTGTTTAACACAACAATGAAGAAATCCTTGCCACTGTCTCACTGCCATGGAATTAATGGGACTATAATCTAGGCTTTGAATGTTGCAGGATTCTTTGGACAAACTGGAAATGAACCGTAATCTAGGCCAACCCACCTCATCAACAGGTTCAGTGGTTCATAAATTCACCCCCTTATCCGGTAGCTCAGGTGATGGATGGAGCCTGGTGGGTGGCATCCTTTCCCATATAATTTGACACCAGCTCAGTTCAGATATTCTCATGAGAAGATACTTGGTAAAGATTTGGAGGTCTATGAAGCAAATACTTTTGGGAAAAGGGTCAATTGGGAATGGAACTTGTCGCCCCAAGTGAGATTGCTACATGTTCCCTCATCAATCTTGGTTTGAAAGTACACATGGTATAATCTATAAACGTAACCTGGCTTGTGTGAATTAGATAGGTAGGTGGTGACTGGTGAGGATGATGAGGAGTGGGAGATGTTCTGAGAATATCGAAGAGGATATGCTTTTCAAGCCTTGTATTGATAGTACAGTGTTTCCAAAATGAACAATTGCTCATTAATGTTCTTGGACATGATTTTGCTGCTTATCTTACAAATGCTGCACTAAGTGTGGCAGTAAATGATATAGTCACTAGGAATGGAACTCGAATAAGTTTCACTCACTAGGAACTTGGTAGAACCTGGTAGGTATACTATGGAAATATGTGGTTTGAAAATCCTTCTTTTAAGGAAAGATTGAAGGTTTGGTGGGAATAAATCCGATCCTTAGGAAGTGGGAAGTTGACCTCGGGGATTGAAGAATTGGACAAAAAAGAGGCTCTCAGAACATTGTCTGAAGAGGAAAGGGAGGAAAGTTGGAAACTAAAGCAAGAACTGGAAAAGATACTAAGGAAAGAAGAGATTTGTCGGAGGCAAAAATCTAGGTGTAAATGGTTGTTGGAAGGGGATGGTAATACCAAGTTTTTTCACTCACTTGCAAATGGTAGAAGAAAGAAAAATGCCATTCACAGTGTGGAGGTGTAGGGTTAGGAGGCAAGAGAGGGCCAAGAGAGTACAAGGATCTTTGTGAATCATTTTAAATCCCTATTTGTAGACTCAGCTGGGGGTAGTACAAGGCTACAAGATATGGGTTGGGATAGAGTGACAAAGGAACAAGCACAATATTCGGAAAGGAATTTATCATTGGAAAAGATCAAGAAAGTAATTTTCTTGATGGAGAGATCAAAAGCCCCAGGACCAGACGGTTTTCAATGGCATTCTACAAAGAGTGCTAGGATTTTTTTTTTTTTTTTAAATAGACCTATTGGAAGTTTTTAGTAATTTCTTCCTTAGAGGGGAGATCCCCCCTAGGGTTAATGCCACCTTTATAGCTTTGGTCCCAAAGAAGAAGGAGGCAAAAGCCCAAAAAGACTTTAGACCAATAGGCCTAATTGGGAGTCTCTATAAGATCATCTCAAAGGTCTTATTTATAGAAACTGAAGGTGGTCCTTCCATCAGTGATCGTTCCCTTCCAAGGGGCCTTTGTGGAAGGAAGGCCAATTGTGGATCAAATCTTGGTGGCTAATGAATGTGTTGTAGAAAAGAGGAAGAACGGAGAGAAGAGTCTGGTTTGCAAGGTGGATTTAGAGAAAGCCTATAACTTAGTGGTGTGGCAAGTGTTGTTGGAAGCATTAGAGAGACTTGGGTTTGGGGAAAAATGGAGACTATAGATCAAAGGTTGTGTTAGCTCAGTTCATTATTAAATCCTCATTAATGGTGTGGAAAAAGATTTTTTCCAGCCAAATGAGGAATAAGACAAGGAGACCCATTTCCCCCTTTCCTTTTCATCATAGTGGCAGGGGTACTAAGCAGAGTGGTGGTGAAAGCATATTTACAGAGTCTGATTAGGGGGTGGAGAATTGAAAGAAACGAAGTGGTAGTCTCCCACCTCCAATTTGCTGATGATACAATTTTGTTTTGTAAAGGTATAGACTTGGAAATGGTGAGAAACCTGAAGTTATTGATCGATGATTTTGTGGGAGAATTAATTGAGGTAAAAGTGGGATTTCATGAATCATCATGGAAGATGGGGAAGTGCAAATATTTGCTAAGGTTCTGGGATGTGAGAGTAGATAGTGGCCTATAATATACCTAGGTTTGCCTTTGGGAGGGAACACTAGAAGTGATGAGTTTTGGAACCAATGGTGGAAAGGTTCGCTAAGAAATTAGCCCTTTAGAAGACAAATTACATATCGTTGGGGGGGGGGAGAATTATTCTGATCAGAGCTACATTGGCAAATCTTCCTATTTATTTCCTCTCCACCTTCCACACCCCAACTAGGATTTAGAGAAATAATGAGGGACTTTTTTTGGGAATCGGGAGAGGAAAAAAGGATCACTTGGAAAAGTGGGAACAAGTTAGAAAACCTAAGGAAGAAGGATACTTAGGGTTAGGGAACATCGTCCTCAGAAACATTGCTTTGCTATGTAAATGGTTGTGATTCCCCTTTGAGAGAGAGAGAGAGAGGTTGTGGCACAAGGTGATAGCAAGCATTCATGGGTTGGAAGGTAATGGCTGGGATGATAAAGTTGGTCCCCACTCCTTATTCTCTTCGTGGAAAACAATTCATGAAGTGTGCCCAATTCAGCTTTGCACCCATTTGTTTGTGACCATGATTTACACCCTACCTGATGAAAATTTTAAACTTTTGTCTGTTTTTTCACCTGGTAAAATTTGCAGAACCTTCTTCCTACCTTAATTCCTCTTTCATATAAATCAGGGAACACATAATTTTGCTTCCTGTCATACTACTACTAAATAAATAACCTTCCTCTTTCATATAAAGTGTGAATACACCATTTTAGTTACTATTTTACTTATCAAAAACAAACAAGACAAGGCCAAATCTGAAGCAAAAGTAAACTAGAATTTGCACTAAGCCAATTTCATGCATTTACACTAAAGTAAGTGAAAGTTTCTGAGCAATCAAACAGCCTTAGAGTAAAGGTCTCTTGAAGTGATGCAGCTTCTTCTGGAAGTATAGAGGAACAAAATTAGTCTGTCTCTTGTGTAAAATATTTTGATGATAATATTTTAATTTAGAAAATATGTTTTGTGTAAAATATGAATGTAGAAGAGGCTATTTTTGTATTTTTACCTCTTGTTGTATTTTATTTTATCTTGTACACTAAGGACAATTTGGTGCTTTTACAGTTTAATATAAATATCTTTCTTAGGGTGTTGATCTCTCTATTGGACACACCCACAAATCTACTGCTGTCTCTTCTTTTTCCTTGGTTTACAGACTTAGATCAAACTCTGACAGTATCAACAGAATCATGCCTTACAAACAACCCTTGGAGAGGCACAGCAATGTTTTGTTAATAACAACGTTTTTTTGAACATTGTTTCTGCAGTGAGATTAGTGCAGCTCAAGACAAGTTTACGGATTTGCTGCAAAAAATATATTTGAGTCAACCCAATGATAGAGAAATTGTGAGACTAATTATGACCTGCATTGGCCGTGGAGGTCAGGGTGATGTTGGTCAGAGAATCCGTGATGAAATACTTGTGCTTCAGGTATTATTATTTACTTTTTGCATGAAACAACAATTCATTTCAAGTTAGGTCTCTTGTTAGATAATTGCGGTCACTGTGCTATTTCAACATTATCAGAGAAACAATGACTGCAAGAGTGGGATGATGGAAGAGTGGCACCAAAAATTGCATAATAACAGCAGCCCAGATGACGTAATAATTTGTCAGGTTGAGCTATCCCTGGATTAGTAATTTATAGACAATCTTTGAATCAATTCAAATTTTTATTGGTGAATTAATTTCAATTTTCAATATACTTTGTTTCCTTTGGAACAGGCACTCTTGGACTATGTAAGAAGTGACTATAAAATCGATGTTTACTGGCGTACGTTAAAGGCAAATGGCATTACGAAAGACATCCTTGGAAGTTATGACCGTCCAATTGTGTCTGAGCCTTGTTTTAGGGCTGACGCTAAGGAAGGACTTATCCGTGATCTTACTTCATACTTGAGGACATTAAAGGTTAGTATGAAATAAAAAAACACCCTTAAGTTTAAGCATACAACATAGTGATAAAAAAATTTAAGCAGAAACTGAATCTTAAGAGCCATTAATGGATATAGGTACGCAATGGAATTTGCCATGGCATTGAATTCCACTAATAGCAAACACATTGATTGAATTCCTTTTTCCTAATGATATGCATTGCTTTGTTTGGAAGTACATACAATTTACGTATGTTTATTGTCTTAGGGTAAATGGGATATTTAAAAATGTCATATATCTTTTATCATTCTTCTATGTATTTTTTTATTGTTAATACTTGAATAAAAGAAACAAAAGTTGTTTGTTTTCTGATGTGAATTCAGAGAGAAAAAGAAGAATAAACCAAGAACATAAGAGGAGAAGAGAGAAGAGAAGAGGAAGAGGAAAAAGAAAAAAAAGGGTGCGGTTAATTGTGTTTGGCCGCCGCACCAATCTATTTATATTTATGATTTAAAATATTAGCGGAATTCCACTAATACGCCTACTACCTACATAAGGAACAAAAAAAAAAAACAAATAAATATGCCCTAACTACCATGAAATAACATAAAGATATTGTTAACAGCTGTTATTTTTCCAATGTATAGTACCGCAGGGGTATATTGTACTTCTACTCTTTTATTTTAGTTGCTGTCGCCCTAGTATATATATTAAAAAAGCTGCGCCGCCAGCAGTATCTTTTGCTCTCAGTTCTCTCTTCTTCTCTCTCTCTTTTCTCTCTTCTTCCATTCTTCTCTCCTGCATAACAGATATAAAGTGAAAATAAAGTGTGGGATCACACACTAACAACTATCTCTACACTCCCCCTCAAGTTGGGAATAGATATTAGTCATTCCCAACTTGCGTAAATCTGTCTCCAACTTAGTCTTAATGACTGCCTTAGTGAAGAGATCAGTTAGTTGCACATTTGAGGCAATATAGGGAAGACACTTATTGAGATGCAACTTTCTCTTGGATAAAATGTCGGTCCACTTCAATATGTTTAGTTTTGTCATGTTGTATCAGATTGTGAGCAATGTTAATGGCAGTCTAATTATCGCAGTATAACATCAGAAGTTTCTCATATTCAACACCCAACTCATCAAGTAAAGATCTCAATCAACCATAACACTTCTACCACACCATTAGCCATGGATCTGTATTCAGCTTTAGCACTAGAACGGGCAACAACATTTTGTTTCTTACTTTTCCAAGAAACAAGATTTCCCCCCACAAAAGCATAATACCCAAAGGTAGATATCCTATCATCAATACATCCATTCCAATCAACATTTGTGTATACTTCTATCTTCATGTGACCATTATTTTTGTAGAGTATGCCTCTCTGTGGGCATCTCTTCATGCAGGTAAGTATCCTTTCCACTATAAGAAGGTGGGTGGTTTTGGGAGAATGCATGTATTAGCTAACAACACTAACAACATAAGAAATGTCTGGTCATGTTAGGCAAAGATAAAGAAGTTTTCCAACCAATCGCTGATACACAAACCTGTCTTCAAGAGGCTCTCTACCTTCTGCACTTATCTTATGGTTCAGCTCAATGGGTGGGTCAACAGGTTTAACTCCTAATTTCCCAGTTTCTTCTAGCAAGTCAAGAATATACTTTTTTTGGGAGACAAAAATGCCATGCTTAGATCAGGCTACCTCAATTCACAGGAAATAGCGTAGTTCCCCCAAATCTTTCACTTCAAACTCCTAGTGAAGAAGCTACTTAAGAGAGTCAATCTCCCTAATATCACTTCCTGTCACTACAATGTCATCTATGTAGACAACAAGTAGAGCCAAAGAAGAATCTACTTTCTTAAAGAAGAGAGTGTGATCTGATTGAGCCTAGATATAACCAAACTTCTCCAAAGCCAGTCTAAATCTATCAAACCAGGCTCTTGGAGATTGCTTTAGCCTATATAAATTCTTCTTTAGCCGGCACACCTTCTTTCCTACTTCTGTACTATACAAACAAGGGGGAAACTCCATGTACACCTCCTCTTGCAAATCTCCATTAAAGAATGCATTATTGACATCCATTTGGAATAGTGGCCATGAGTAATTTGCAGCAATGGATAATAGTACTCTGATAGTATTCATCTTGGCTACTAGTGCAAGCATTTCCAAATAATCTATGCCATGAGTTTGTGTAAATCCTTTTGCAATCAATCTGACCTTATATCTCTCTACAGAGCCATCAACATTTTATTTCACTATAAACACCCATCTATACCCAATAGGTTGGTCAACTAACTCCCATGTATTGTTTTTAACAAGAGCATCCATTTTTACTTTCATTGTCTCTTTCCACTCAAGTATCTACAAGGCTTCCTGCACTTTTCTGGGAATAGAAATAATAGCAATAGATGTTAGGAAAGATCTATAGGATTGTGGAAGACAATCATAAGAAAGGAACTGGGAGATACAATGAGCAATGAATGAAGTACAACGACGCTTCCCTTTACGAATTGCAATTGGGAGATCAAGGTCATCTGCAATTGTGGGCTCAACTGTGGTGGTAGTGCTTGGATCTGGAGCTGTAGAAGAGATTGGGGTCGGCCTGGACTATTGAGAACTGAAATCAACCTACCTCCAATTCCCTGCACTTCTGACAATCCTCTTCACCACACTCCCCTCAGTGACTGGAATAGGTAATGGAATTTTTGGGGGTAGAATACTTACCTCAATTGCTCTCCCTCTAAGAAGAAACTCTATGATAGTAGGGTACATCCTCAAAGAATGTGACATCCATAAACACAAACCGTCTCCTGGGAATAGCCTCATAAAAGTAATACCCCTTTTTATTTTATGCATACCCAAAGAAGATACATTTGGCAGCTTTGGGATCAAATTTAGAGCGACGGGGTTCAAGGATTTGAACAAAACAAGTCCACTCAAAGGTTTTAAGGGGAATAGTGAACATGTCCTTGTCTGGATACAAGATGTTAAATGGTGTTTTCATGTCTAAAACCCATGAAGGAATTCTGTTAATAAGGTATATAGTTGTAAGAATAGCATCCCCCTAAAAATGTATGGGAACATTAGAGTTTAGCATGATGCTTCTGGCTACCTCCAAGATATGTCTGTTATTTCTCTCAACAACCCCATTTTGCTGAGGTGTAGGAGGATAAGTGCTCTGATGGATGATCCCATGATCAAGGAAATATAAGGCCAAGGGTTTTGCAAAATACTCCTTGGTATTATCAGATTTGAGAATTTTGATCCTAATTCCAAATTAGGTCAACACCATCTGATGAAAAGCATGGGTCAAAGTAGGGACCTCGTCTTGAAAGTGCATAAGGTAAACCCACGAGAAACGAGTATAATCATCAACAAACAACATAAAGTATCTGTACATTCCCTCCCCCATAGCAGTAATATGATATGGTCTCCAAACATTTGTATGCACAATTTTAAAAGGAACATTGCTTCTTTTATTGCTCAAAGAATAAGTTGATCTACAATCTTTTGCAAGTTCACGACTCTTACACCTCAAACTAGACACTTGGACTGATTTAAACAGATTAGGAAACTGACTCTTTAAAGACCCAAAAGATAAATGACATAATTGATTATGCCAAAGCATAATTTGACTCAAAGACTACGAAATAAATAAATTCCCAACTTCACTGCCCTTCCCCTGTGGATGCTTAAGCAGATAGACTTCATTCGTCTCACAGCCAATTCCAATCAACTTCCTTGTCTCCAAATCCTAAAAAATACAATGATCAGGGAAAAAAGGTCACTAAGTAGTTCTAATTATTAGTAATACTACTAATTGAAAGCAGGTTAGCACTTAGCTTAGGAACATGTAGAACTGAGGACAGGGAGATAGCATTAGACAATCTAATGTCTCCCTTGCTAGAAATAGGCACAATAGAGCCATCAACAATAGATACTTTGTCTCTGCCAAAGGATAGACAATAGGTGGTAAACAAGGTGGATAAACTGGTCATATGATCAAAAGCACCTGAAGCTATTACCCAAAAAGGTCTAGTGTTACTTGGGGCTGATGTATGATATGTTGTAGCTCTTGTACCCGAAGGAGCGAAGGCTGAAGTGGGAGTAGCAAATGCAGTAGCTGGTGGCTGAGATGGGGATCCAGAAGTACCAGTTTCACTCTTCAATTGTGTCAAGGCAGCTTGGACAATAGCTAAGGCATCTAGGGATGTGGTCCTTGTGCTGGAAGAGGATGCACTATCAATAGTAACTGCCACATTGGTATTTCCCTTCTTATTTCCGAGTCTTATCGGAATAAGATGGGGATACAACTTCCAACAAGTGTCTCTATATGTTGTTGCATCCTTCTGACTTTCCCACTCAATTGTCTCCAAGTGGTCAATTTCATGCCACAGAGACTTCAAAGTAGTAAAGTAAAATGAGACTGGCTTCTCCCCTTGCTTGAGATTATTCACTTCACACTTCAGTTCATAAGCCCTAGAAACGTTAAGTGGTTGGGAGTATGTCTCTTTCATATTGTCCCAAATTTCCTTGGCTGTTTTTGTCCATAAGTAGTTTCGGCTAATGTGAAGCTGCATAGAGTTGCACAGCCAAGTCATCACCAAATAGTTCTTTTGAACCCATTTGGCATGTGATGTGTCTTCCATGGCTGGCTTCTTTGTATCCCTAGTCACATAGCCTAATTTACCTCTATCCCCAATGGCCATCATAGCTGATTGGGCCCATTCCAAGTAATTGGTTCCATCAAACCTAACAGTGGTAATCTGAAAAGAGCTTTCAGTCATGTTTCTAGCCCCTAAAAATCCTTCCCCTTGAGTCTTTTAACTCATTTCCAGCCTTCTCCAATTTCTAACAGGCCAAAACTTCAAGAAGGAAATCTAGAACTGCCTTTTTCTATGCAGAAAACCCTACACAATTGAAAAACAGCCACCCAGAAATCATTCTCAGTCAATAATAATCTTCCAAAAATCATCCACAATCAAAGACACAACCCAGAAATTATTCTCAGTCAGATTAACAAGCCTAGGAGCCA